GGAGAATTACATATTGATTTCCTTTGAGGGCTCTCCTGGAAGTGAACCAGGGGACAAAAAAAAAAAACGAAAATCTTTGAAAATTATGAAAATTGCAAGTTTTCAATGAATTTCCAATGTTTTGAAGCAGAAACATATAAAAACACAGCATTTACAAGGTTTTGAGGCCGAAACCATATGAAAACACAGCATTGTTGCATTCGGATTGTGAAAATGCTGTGTTTTTATATGTTTTTGCTTCAAAACATTGGAAATTATTTGAACACCTGCAATTTTCCTAATTTTCAATGATTTTCTGTTTTTTATATTTTTTTGTTTTTCTTTTGTCCCCTGGTTTACTTCCAGGAAAGCACTCAAAGGAAATCAATTTGTAATCCTCCACACAAGGAATCCCTTTGTATTCCTCCACCAAAGGGAATTTCTTTGTAATCCTCCACAAAAGGAATCCTTTTGTAATCCTCCACAAAAGGAATCCTTTTGTAATCCGCCACAAAAGGAAACAGATTGTAATACCTCATGAACAGAATTCCCTTGTAATTCCTTACAAAAGAACTCAATTAAAATGTGCTACAACAGGAATCGTTCTGCATTCCACTACTTTGAGCAATCCCTTTAGAGATGACGAAAAGCATAATCAACAGGAAAGCAAGCACATCAGAAGTAATAGACCAAAAACCGAGGTGGTACACACACACACGGTTTTATCAACCTTACGGGGGAGGGGGCGGGGTCTGGCTCCGGGACTTCTGCTCAGTGCGACCACTTGCGCGCACCAGTACGTCCCGTGGGGGGAGACTCCACCTGCTGGAAAAACAGGCGCCAAAGACAGCCAAGATCTACACCATCGGGGAGGGGAGGGGGGAGGAGGGGAGGGGGTGCGAGGGCCCGCGCCGATCGGCAAAAGAACGAACAAGAAAACGATCCCTTCCAAGCCCGCTCTTTCCCTTCGGGGAGCCGGGCCTGGAAGGGGGAGGCGGCGGGTCGTCGGCGCGTCCAAGATGGCCCCGACGAAAAAGCAAGAATCCTTCATTGCACTTAGGTTTTTGGGTTCATTTGGGCCTCCTCGGGGGGGGGCTGATTAAGAATCCCACCAGCCCTTTGGGCGTGAGTGGTTTAGCGAGCTCTCTCTGTCCTCAACCCCCCTTCTTCCCCTTCGGGGAGGGGTTTACCCCTCCCCCTACCCCCTCCCCCTGGGCCTGGAGAGGGGGGGCCGCGGGTCGTCAGGGGGGTCAATTTCGACTCCTGGGAGGGCTAAAAAACGACACCCCTCACGAGAATTCTGGCCCCGACGGGGGGGGGAAGATAGAGCCCTCTCCTCTTCTTTGAAGCGAAAATCATTGATTTTATTAAGGTTTCGGCCCCATTTTGGCCTTCTGAGGGGGCAGCGCTCCTCTTCCTTCATAGCAAAATCATTGATTTTACAAAGGTTTTGGGCTCATTTTGTCCTTCTCAGGGGGCAGCGCTCATTTGCGCTTCTGAGGAGGTCGCAAGAGGCCCCAAGCTGGCCCCAAGAGGCCCCCAGGAGGCTCCCAAGAGGCCTCCAAAGGCCCCCAAGAGGCCCCCAAGAAGAGGCCCCCAGGCCCCAAGAGGCCCCCAAGAGGCCCCAAGAGGCCCCAAGAGGCCCCCAAGAGGCCCCCAAGAGGCCCCCAAGAGGCCCCCCTCCAAGAGGCCCCCAAGAGGCCCCACGAGGAGCCCGAACGACTCACACCAGGACGAGGGGCCCGAACGACTCACACCACGAAGAGCCCGAACGACTCACACCACAAGGAGGGGCCCGAACGACTCACACCAGGACGAGGCGCCCGAACGACTCACACCACGAGGAGCCCGAACGACTCACACCACGACGCGGGCCCCGAACGACTCACACCACGAGGAGCCCGAACGAGTCACACCAGGAGGAGGGGCCCGAACGACTCACACCAGGACGAGGGGCCCGAACAACTCACACCACGAGAAGCCCGAACGACTCACACCAGGACGAAGAGCCCGAACGACTCACACCACGAAGAGCCCGAACGACTCACACCAGGAAGAAGGGCCCGAACGACTCACACCAGGACGAGAAACCCCAAACGACTCAAACCACGAGGAGCGCTTTCTCTCCCTCCTCCTCCGCCTCGTCCTTCTCCCGCTCCCCCCACAAGGAGGATGTACAAGGAGGCGGGAGGAAGGAGGAACAGGGGAGATATGCGGGGCCAAGCGGACACACGCCTGAAAAACACGACTGTCGGCATGCTTCGCAAGAGTTGCTGTTGTGAGATGGGCTGGTGGGGATACGCGAAGCGTAAAGAATTCTCCCTTGTTTGATCGACCTCTTCCAAGACGACCCCAAGATGGCCACAAAGAACATGAGGGCCCGAAGAGGCGCCCAGGAGGCCCTAAGAGGCCCCCACGAGGCCCCCACAAAGCTCTCAAGAGAAACCCAAGAAGCCCCAACAGGCTCCCACGACGCTCCAAAAGGTCGCCTCCCCCCTCCTCTCCTCCTCCTCCTCCTCCCTCCTCCTCCTCCTCCTCCTCCTCCTCCTCCTCCTCTCCTCCTCCTCCTCCTCCCGCTCCTGCTCCTCCTCCTCCTCCTCCCACGATACTGTTTTCAAGGAGCCCGACCACCCAGCGCGATCCGCAGCTGGTCGTCCAGGCGTTCCCTGACGACGCATGTACAGGCCTTAAACTTGCATAGCCTTCCAGAAGGGCGGCGATCGACGGGTCGCCCTGGGTCGCCCCGAAGCATTCGAGCGCGGGTTGACGAGGGAAGCCCGCGCGCTCCAGTGCGAGCACGGACAAGCTGCGCTCGTTGCCTCCGGGGCGTGGCAGGCAAGAACACCGCTCGGTGGGGCAACAGGTCACGGCGCCATTCGAGAACAGACGCCCGAAATTGACGATCGAGTTGTTCAGCCCCGTGCTGGCTTCAACAAATGCAGCCCATCGCTGGCCCATGCATGCGTGGGCTCCCCCTGGAACATGTCATGGAGACCGAATGGCAGCCTCAGGGCCGACCAGAAGTGCGACTCCTCGCCCGTGCCCCTGCGCCCCGAAGCACACCCGGAGTTCAGAGACACCCTGCCTTCGACGGAGACGACGCAGCTGAAATCACCACCGACGATCGCGAGGGGGACTGGGAACAAGCCAAATTGTCGACGATGCGGGAGCGGACGAGCCATCGAACGGCGGGGAAAAAATAATCGAAGCACAAAATGCGGGCCCACATTGTAGAGGTCGTGCTCAGTGAAAGCTAAGTCCGTGCGGAAATAATTACAAGACCACGATGTCCAAGGAGCCGAGCGGGCCTCGTAACTAGAGCATGGCAGCGCGGCCACGCCAGCCATGGACGAACTGAATGTCAGTGTCGGAAAGGTCCGCACAACGACCCCGACCCCGCATGACCTGCGGCGGAGCCCTGAGGCCAGAATGCCACAGTGCCTGAGGGGGTGCCGTTGCCCTCCAAGTCAGACGGGTGGCCGCGGAGTCGGAGAAGAAACAGAACCTGGAGACCCCCAAGGGCAGCATCTGTGAGCACAGCTGCCAATAGTGCTAGAACACGCTGTGCCCGTTGCACTCCAGGATCGTGGCGTCCGCGGAGCTTGTCATGGACTTGGAGCTGGAAGAAAGTGGAAGCGGGAAGGTGCTGGGCACGCGATAGCCTCAAGACCAGCATCTGCTCCAACTCCGCGGTCTGGGGATGGAAGGTCACGTCGATTGAAATGCGCGGGATGCTACTGCTGGAGGGAGGGCTCCTCCCGTGGGACCCAAACAGCGCGCCCTCCAGACACTGCAGCTGACCCGATGCCAAGAAGGAGAGGAGGCTGCCCGCACACGTGGCGACGGCGACGGCGGAAACCTGCAGGATGGAGCCCGCGTGGAGCGTGCGGGATGAAGCCCACGAGAGATGGAGCCCGCGTTGAGCACGCGGGGGACGCCACGGGCGCGGAGCTCATGGGCCCAAGATGGTCCTGGCCCGGACGGGTGCCCGAGACTTCCCAAGAGGTAAAGCTCGCGACCACGCACGATCAGAGGACGGCAACATCGTGACGACTTGCGCGCTGGCCTCTTCTGCCGCAAGCGTCGTTCAAGCCTGAACCATCGCGCTTTCCGATAGCGCAGATCGTTCGCTATCGATCGGTCGGTTCCAGGCCACTGGCGGCGTTAAGCAACCTCAGAGTCGATGGAGCAGTTGGACGCCCAAAATGGGTGTCGAGAACATGGGAGCGAGGCCCGACAGCCAATGCTGTCCCAAACCGACGGGTATCCGATGGGCTCCCCCCACGGGCGCGCCGCCGCACTTCTGGGAAGACAGAAGGATGCTGACAGCCGCCACTCCCGGGGACCTCTTCTCGGGCGCGTCCCGACCGGCACTCCCCCACGAACCCGACGGTGGCGACGAGGGCCACCGAGAAAAGGCCCCCAAGGGCGAAGGCGGGGGACGCGTCCGTGACTGGCTGCTTCTGAGCACTCCTCGCCGCAGGAGGGCCCAGAATCGAATCAACAAGTCGGACCAGGCAATTTTTCGATACGCCTCAGGAGGATCGTGGCCTCCGAGGGGGGAGCCGCACACTACCCCCCCTCCCCCCCCAAGAGGCCCACAAGAGCCCCCCGAGAGGCCCTGGGGGCCCCCAAGACGCCGCCAAGGAGCCCCAAGAGACTCCCAAAAGGTCCCCAAGAGGCCCCCAAGAGGCCCTACAGAGGGTTCCACGGCTGGCGGAATGAGCGAAGCGATTAAATAAACAAGTCGGATCGGCGATCGCCATGAATCGGATCGGCGGAAAGCGGCAGCCAAGCCAGGAGAGGTCGAATCGGCCGCCATCGGCAGGCCAGCGAGGCCCCCACAATAGTGTGAGAAACCGAGAAGTCCCCGTCGGAACCCGTCGGATCGAATCGGAACCGGAATCCCTCGAGATCGAGTCGGATCGCGTCGGGCGGGTCGAAAGGAGCCCTGTCGGCCGTGCCCGCGCCGATCGCAGCCAGAGCGCCAGGGCGCGCTCGGGCGAGGCCGGCCGGGCGTC